ATAACTGGCCAAGAACTGGGAGGCTCGGTCATGTGATGCATCTGACAACACTTTAGGCGGATATGAGGGCATAACTGGAGCAATTTGTTGTCTGGTGGTGACTAGTGCAGCCATGCATATACAGTATCCCATAAGTTGCATTTTGGTTGCGTTCAAAGACAGGAAATCTTATCAGATGCATCACATGACTGAACCTCCCAGTTCTTGGCCAGTTATTACCTTGTAAAAATTTCAAGCGAAATTTTTAATGAAATAGATAAGCAATTTCATTGTCTTTTTCGGACGAAATAGATAACAGATTACCAGCAAAATTTGTATCGAAAAAGACAATCAATTACAGTATATTTCTCAGCCGAAATCATCAAAGATTTACAGGCGAAATTTTGATCGAAAAAGGTAAGCAATTACAGCAATAATTTCGGAAATAATTTCGCCCGATATTGTTTGACGCTGGCGCAGTGCATGTCGTCTTTCTAGATTCACCCTCTCTTGATCGATTTTTCTCCGACTCTGCGTCGCATACCAAACCTCGTCCGTGGTCGGTATCTCCAGAGCAGCCCCCTGGACTTGCTCATTACACAGTGTTATATGACTCATTACGGCCACCGCCAGATACTGTACGCCGGCATGGGAATACAGCGATAGATTTGCATGAATTCGAGTTGGCGAAATTGTCTCCCACAAAACTTCCTTGCTCATGGCCACATGATCTGTGTTGTGAACTGAAGCTATAGTCCACCAGTCACCAGCGTGCCGTAGTCACAGCGCTCGTCCTTCCAGAAATATGGTGACCTAACATGGCACAAGGACCATGCGCAGCAAATACGGTATTCATAGTTCTGGATCTTTTAGCTTCATTTTTTGGTAGCCTGAGTGCTCAAAGCGGCAAACCTTTTATCAAGCTCTTGATGGGATGCCAAAGAACAACTAGCCACTCGAAGAGCTGGATTGTTTCAAGACTCTCTCGCGTAGTATGGTTCTATACACCCACTCGGAACACTCCAGCTCTACAATTTGTCATATCTGGGTCTATGAATCAGGCCGATGAAGCTTGGCTGAGGTCTCAGGTAGCTGTTAAGCGGGATTCCAGGGGCGTCAAGCGTCACGTACAACTCACCGCCTCTCTTGCGATAACATCTACACACGCCCCCAACCCAAGTTTTTCTGCTATATAAATCTGAGCTAGCTTCTCCATATTCGCATATAGGTAGGGCTCAAATCTCCAGGCACACAGAGCAAGTACACATGGCGTGCCTGCAAAACTTCAGAGCTTCTATGGACTGCTATCCAGGTTTTGCAGATTGAACTCGTTCGTGGTCTGTTATTCGCAGTAAGTATCCTCGAATGTATGTGGCCTGTGTATATGTGTCCGAACTATCAGGAGACTTGGATTAAGTTTAAATGGCCTGGGATACATTAAATGTATGCAGTCTCTATCGAGACACAGACTTGAATCCCTCTCTGGTCGTGACAGCTCTTCAACTCCAGAACATCCTGATCCCTTTCAGGTTCCTTTGGCGCTTGAACTTGAATCGCATCTGGTAATCCTAGTATGTTTTGGAATTGCTCAAGGTTTGCCCTTGCGCTTCTGCGGTCTGGCACTTCGACTGGAATAACACCATCCGGTGATCCTAGGATGTTTTGAAATTGCTCTTCTGCCACCTGATCTTGGATCGCACTGTCCGGCATACCAAAATCCATGTAGCCAATAGGAGGCTTGGGATTTAATACTTCTTTCATAACATCTATATGGAAAAATATCACTGTGGTGCATGGGAGGAAAGGTTTGAACACACATCTAGTGCCTTTTACCTGAGCCTCATCAATTGCAGACGTCAGGTATATTTTGAGCGTGCGACCAGATTTGTTGCATAATTGAAGATATTGACTAGTGATATATTCGAGGGCCGACTCAGGATCATTGCCCCCGAGATAATCAGGAAAGTGCTCTTCTGGCAAAGGCGAGTGGGATATTTTCTGCGAAAACAGGTCACTCTTGTTTAAGAAGAGTACCTAGTGACGAGTGTAGATTGATCAGCCTTTTGGCAAAATACTGAGAGTATCTTACCACAGGCACATCAATGAACCATGACGAGTTTACTATAGACTGAAATAGCGCCAAAGAATCCTGCATGCGATTCTGTTTGTCGGGCCATAGTCAGTGAATAATGATTCAATACAAGATAAATTGCTCACTGTAGTGGGGTCTTCGAGCAACACTTCATTGTATGCGTCCAATGATGCCACAAAGATCACCATACCTGCATTCCTAAAGCAATCCATCCACAGCCACTTTCTCCTCTCGGATCTCCGTCCACCAAAATCAAACAAAGTGAAGGGTTGACTTCCATCTATTTCAAAGTTCACTGGATGGACTCCCGTAGTCACCGTATAACATCGAGATATGTCTGCATCGGATGGTAGATAATCCTTTGTCAATATTTGAGGCAATGCATCCAAAAAGTACTCTGTGCCCCCGAGAATCTGGTACCGGTTATGGAGAAGATACTGACATCGATCTTCAACCCTTTCTAGAATATCTAGCGACGGTGCATTATGCGCTCTCTGTAATTGTCACAGTTTCGATAACGATGTGAAAAATTGAGTAATAAAAATGGCGCACCCATAGAAGCGCTTCTAGGTCTTTGTAGTCTTCTTGGTTCCAGACGGATTGAGCGCTAATAAGTCGTGAAAAAGCATCAAGGGTGCTCCTTATGACAGCCTCTACATATTCAGCACGTTCCGCATTGGTGTAAGGACCGCGAACAGCTTTTAAAATCTGTTTCGCCATCGTGGTCTGCCAAACAAATTGTTATTCCATTTTTGGAGAAAATAGAATGAAAGAGTTACTTTTCCTGAGTCGCCAGACCCTAAAAGAAGTATGTTAGGCTTCTTCCACTTCTTCCACTCCTTTCCCAAAAACACACTCTGTAATTGAGATATTTTAGAATGTATAGAGCTCCCTGCTATGAGCTGTCGAGATGGGGATATTGCAAACATAGAACTTGACCCTCTTAAGAGCTCCTGGAGGTGGACAATGGACGTAGTATCCTCGACAGGATCTAGATTTTCCATCAAAGCACGTAGCAAGAGACGAGCCGGAAGTAGGTGCATTGACCAGCGGTGTTTAGGCTCCAGAATGTTTGGATACGTTTCAGTAATCAAGAGGGGGATGTTGAGCTCAATCAGTAATCTGGAAAATGCTGGATCTTTGCTAAAAGAGGTTGTCAGTCCTAGATATAATAGGAATGCAATGCAAAGGTTGGATTTCAACATAGGACCTGGGGGTCTTGCTGGGGGTGCGCTTGTCTCGTAAGGTGAGCAAGCCTCGTAAGCATCTAATCCTGCATTACAGTACCCGTTCAATATTTTCCCGTCATCTCCAACGGAGTTGAGCAAGTCTGTAGTGCTATAGTACCTTTAATTAAAGCTCTTACCTGAAGGGTTTGATTAACAACTTACCTTGGATCACGAAAACATAGTATCATTGTTTTCAGAAGATCGTGTGCCTCGTGTATGGGCCAGTTAGCAACGGCAATCGCAAGGTCGTGGAAGTCCATTCCCCCAACTTTTCCCATGATCACTCGGAATGCTCGAGTTCGGATTGAAAGGCTGTATACAGGTCTGTTTCCCAACTAGTTCAATTGCGGTTGACTTTGCTGCAGGAGAACGCACCGAGACAATTCTAGTAAGTCGTTGTGAAGGGATTGTGAATCACTAGGATCTGCTGTACTGTTGGTTTGGTTAAGTGTAGCCTCAAGCTGCGCCAACCTCCGCCGTATGAGAAGAGCATCGACACCATTCACAATAACAGTTCCTACTCGTTTTATGGCCTTTCCGGAAAGAGAACCTAGTCCAGTGATGGTAGAGGTGGAAGCGAACGTTCCTGTACCAGTAAAGACAAGGCTATTAGTCTCGGATCTCAAGTCGGTCATTGCGTGTTGAAAGTTGGTTGAAAGCTCACCGACTTCCTAGATATAGTAGCTACAGCTGCTGTGCGTTGAAATCTCATCGACTTGGTACAGCTTTCATTGTGGGCCACTGGTCCCTGATCAGATCGCAGTTGCATAGCGTAGCATAACTTTAGACATATTAAGACACCGGAAGCCCGGTGTTCCTATTCTCCTGGTGTCTGTTTGAGTCCTTTCCATCCCATCATTCGCGTACATATATATGGGATTACATCGAAGGTTTTGTTGCTCCCTTGCGCAGCTCGCCCATTATCTGCTGTGCGCATCACAACCTTGAGCCTTCTATAAGATCGACAAAAAAAGTTGCATGAGTCATGACGGCCCTGCTTGTTGTTCAAAGCTGTGTACAAGCTGAATCGTGTCCGGTAACTCTCTAGAAGCTCTTTAATCATTCGAGACGGTGATGTAGCAGTGCCAAGTTGATTTGGTCAAAGGTCCAAGGAAGTTTTTGCACTCGCTGCCAGTTGGCCGCAGAACCGAAAATTCAAATTCAAAACCTGACACGACAGTGGGATCAGCTCAGAAGTCTTCGAAGGCAGACTCTCACCTTAAGTACAGACATTCAATATTCAATGTTCGTTGCCAAAAATATTTGGTGTTGTGCTCTCATTGTATGAAAATAAAACCACCATAGCCGTGAACCTGAGTCCAGTCTGCCGCATCAGGGTGTAAATTTTTTCAATGGTCAAGGGTTTGCGAGTCAAAACAACAAATGATGTCCGAAACTTCACCCAAATCCGACACCGGGAGTCGAACCCTATTGAACCCCGGGCTATCGCGTTCTTAAGTGAGATTAAGAGGCGATAATGTCTTCTGTAAGACTGTAACGAATCATTGTGTATAAACCCGCCGTAACCGTGATGAGTCCAGTTTGAGCCGCACCAGGGTGCGAATTTTTCCAGAGATCAAAGCAAGAGTTTGCGAGTCAAAACAGCAAATGACGCCAGAGGTATCAGAGACACACCAAATATCCTAAGCGCCGGTTGTTGGTCTCAAAAACTAATGAAAAAGACCTCCGAAACACCGTAGTTCCGACACGGGGAATCGAACCCCGGGCTATCGCGGTCTAGAAGAGCTAACAGTATGAGAGGCGATAATGTTAGCCACTACACCATATCGGAATCCTATAAACCGTAACTAGGATATCAGATAGCTCGTGAGGCATATCTTGAATGAGTTGGCAGCAAGCTCTTCGTGATATTACTTACTAGCGACCTCATTGTTCAACGTTCAACGCTCTGAAACGGACACTCATAAGTATCTGGCGTGTATACAATGACCCCGCCGCCGCTCCATTCATCGAACAATTACTCAGATCTCAGGTCAAAGCCAAGGTCAAAGCATGGTTTCGCGAGCCAGTACCGAATTCGAGATTCCACAACTCTTAAGCTTGAGCTTGAGTTTGAGCCCCCCCGCACAGAAAAGAACGAAGCACCAGATTGTTCCCTGTTCATTGTTCCGAGTAAATAAATTTAAAGAAAATTAATCTACTAATCTGGGCTGTTATATCCAATTCGGGGAGTCGAAACCCCAGCTATTGCGCACTCCCTAGACTGGATACTCGAGAGGCGATAAGTGAACCACTGCACCATATTGGACCTGGAATTATGAAAGTTGTCTGCCTTTTGTGTGAGTGGTGGGACCGAGATCCTGGAATCGAAAGCTCGCAATAAAATACGCGTTGATTATGAAGAAGGATACCACTGACGATAGCAGTACTCTTACTCAGTCTCAGTACTCAAGTACTCAACTCTTGACTCTAATCCTCGTCCTCATCCTCGCCCTCATCATCGTAATCGTCCCCCTCGTCCCCACCTATCCCAAGACTCTCCAAATGAACCGACATCGACAAGTTTTGTTTTGCGCCCTCCACCAATTGCTGCGCCATCGCGAGATTACCAGCTCGTGCTCTGATGATGGGGAGACACGCAGAGAATATAGGTGCAATTTGGGAACGAGCGGCGGCGGATTGGAGTTGGACGCCGTCGTCGTCGGGTGATGTCAGTGAGGATTTGGACTCGGAGGAATTTGAATCTGAGGGTGATTCGGTTTCGGTCGTTGGATGCGATGTGGATTGAGACTCGGTAGCTGCGGGGTCTTCTTCCGAAAGTTCGGATTCGGTAGACGTTGCGGTCGAGACGGTCAATCGCAGGATGGCCGATTCGAGCTCGAAAGCTTCCATGAGCAGTACGCCTAGGTTAGGGTATAACATAAGGATCAAATAGATGCAGAGACAACACTCTAGACTCACCGAGCTTATCAAGGACATCGTTGAATTCGCGTAACGGGAGGTCCATCGAATCAAAGTCGACGTTAGTTAGATCCTTGGACGCAATACCGAGAGCTTCCGCTTCGAGCTCGCTGCATGCATCTCCATGCGAGAGGAATGTCTGCATGATTTTCGGAGCGTCTTTGGCGAACTAGAGTAAGTGGGTGAGCGCTTGAGGAAGGCTTCTGCTTCCACAGCGCAGAAGCTGACCTTGTCTGAAGAAAGTTCATCATAAAACTCTATCGATTGCTCCGCCTCGAAACGGGCACGCTGGTCTGATATATTGGTTTCTTCTTTGTCTAGCACGTCTGAGCGAGCTTTTATATCATTCTTTTCGATTTGATTTCGTTAAAAGAGAACATAAAGATTAAGACGATGAAGAACATACCTCAGCGGCCTTTTGTGCATCTTTGAAGCATGCGTCGAGCGTTGAAGTCATGAACATCCATGGATACTGCTGGGCTGCTACCTGTAGAGGATCGCTGGGTTTTGCATCGCCGGCAGACGGAGCTGGCTAGATGTCATAGCATGGGTTATTTTAGAATATACAAAAGTTAGTTTGAAAATCACCTGGGGCTTTTCAGAGACCGAGGTAATTTCACCAGGTAGAATACGAGTTTCTGTTGTCATTTGAGCAGAGCAGGTTATACGCAGTATTCAAGAAGAATACCATGAGCTGAAGACGAAGACATTATGTAGTAAAGAAAGTTGAGAAACGTGATTAGTTTTATTTACTGCCCCTTTGCAAGCGACTTTGTTGGTCGCCGCTGCTAAGCGTGCCACACATAACATCTAGACGACTAATTTCTTTTCTCCATCTACCATGTCATTTCTACTCTCACTTATCCGCCCAATTGCTTATATTTCTCTCCCGATTATTCTCGTCCGCTCGGTAGTGTCTTCGTCTCCCTTGGGCCAGTATTATTTTCGACGAGGTTTATACCTAGGATGCATGACAGCTATTGCAACATGGGGCATCGTCGTCGCTGCAACAATGTCCGCAGTCGGCCGTCGATATGATGTTAATTGGGTTATTGCTCGGACATTTTATGCTTTGGCCGGAACTGTACTGGATATCCAGGTAGAAGTGGAGGGCGAGGAACATGTGTCGACAAGTCCTGCGGTGATCCTGACCAATCACCAGAGTATGCTCGATATCTTGTTTGTTGGCAGGTGAGCTGGGACGCAGTTGATAACTGGAGCCCTACTCATTTCTTCAGGATGATGCCCAAGCGAACGTCTATTATGGCCAAAAAATCCTTACAATACACTCCTCTCGGCCCATTCATGGTCATGTCTGGAGCTATCTTCATCGACAGAGGCAACAACACTCGTGCAGTACGCTCATTAACCGCGGCCGGCCAGCTAATGAAAGATCGCAACATATCCCTTTGGGTGTATCCCGAAGGCACTCGCCATTTGTCTCCAGAGCCTGAACTGCTGCCTTTCAAAAAGGGAGCTTTTCATCTCGCCATTCAAGCTGGTATCCCCATCGTCCCCATCGTCACAGAAAATTACTGGAAAATCTACCGGCAAGGTTTCTTTGGAACAGGTGTCGTGAAGATTCGTGGCAAGTTCTAATTGATTTCCCTTCGTCCCGTCTCTCATGTGTCCTTTTTCTCTTCAGCTCTTCCGCCCATTCCAACGGAAGGCCTAACTGACAACGACGTCCCTGAACTTTCGAAAAGAGTCCGGGATCAGATGTTGGATGCTTTACGCGACATTTCCGTCAAACCTACAACGGAAGAGGCAGCTGAGAGCCCACGAGACTCGGAACCTACATCCACGGAACCCCAACCCGACTCTGCTTCCTCTTCAGTTCCCAAGACCGAGGACCAAGGTATCCTTTCGTCGCCTGATATTCAACATATTGGGCCAACAGAAGTCTTCGAGGCCAGAACGAGCTCAAGGGCTTCCATCTCGTCTTCGGATTCGAATCGCAGAAGGTCAGAACCTAGCGAAAATGGGACGGAAACGGAAGAAGATGAGGGTATGGTACTTGTCGGACGACCAGCTTAGCAGATACCCCCACTCCTTTTGGTCATTTACGTGTAACCTTGGCCTGTTAATACACGCTGTAAGGGCCGGCGCCTGAAGCCCGTTATAGTGTTTTTCAAGAATTAGAGATCAAGATGTATCTTTTGCTTAGGTTTTTTGCTTGTTGGAATCCACGAATCGGAAACTATCGGAAACAGGGAAGATCTCCCCTGAGCTTCCCGCCAGTGGCCACGAATACGAATACGGAGGGCACTGGCAGTTGTTTAAATGACTAATTTTACCTTTGCAAAGAAGCTCCGAAAGCAGTCTTATATAAAACGCTTCCAAATTTTTCTCAATTTCAATATCTTTCCTTTCCTTCTTTCACGAACTGTTCTCAACACTTTTTCGCCGCTCTCTGACTATGCAAGTAGTTTCAAAAAGAGTTTTACCTGGTACATAGCTTCGTCCTGGCTGCAATTCTTTTCGTTCGTTTTCGCTTAAACATCTCGTTCGTAGACTGCTGGGGCCATCGCGGTGTAAGTTGACGAGCTGTACTACAACCGGAACTACAAGTAACCGAAGACTCTTGATCCAGGCATCTGCTGCTTTCCCGGAGAACACGCTTGCAAGCTTTGAGGCCGCTATCCGAGATGGTGCTGAAGGCATCGAGAGCGGTATTTGATAGCATTGGCGTTCTGCCGTTTGCGACGCGTAACCTTGCCAGCAGACGTACACGTATCATCAGATAATGTTGTTATCATGTTTCACGATTCTGGTATGTCTCAGAAATGCCTTTGGTGTCGGTGGCTAAATGCTAAGCGCTACGCTCCACTGTAGAACTGGATAGAACCACCGATTCAACTGGTCTGAACTATATTTTTACCTCAGCTGGGAAACTACAATTCATTCGCGTCTCCATCGCAGGTGCTATCAAGGATCGAACGTGGTACGGTGAATCGGGAATGGAGAACGTGCGTGATTGTGGCCTGTTTCACAATACTCTCCCCAAGTTTCTGGTTCTGAGATATCTATCATCTTACTTTTTTCTTTATGGGTTTATCCAGGTACGCACTCGAAAGGAGCCCAAGCAATCGATCCCCACTTTCGCCGAAACCGTTACATTACTTATGCAGGCAAGTTTTTCCTTGTGTCGTTCCAAGGGAGCTAACCTGTTTTATTTCTGGTTCCTCTCTGCTTCTCGATATAGCCCGACAACCAGCATGTGTTATTGAATATTGATGTGAAGCCGTCGAATGACCCTCCGAGACTGTTTGGGCTTATGCATCGTATCATCTCGGCGCAACTGGATTGGGAGACGAAGCTCGCACCGCGATTGGTGCTCGGGTTATGGCATCCCAGGTTTATTTCCGCTGCGAAGGAGAACGTCCCGTATCTCAAGAGATCCTTCATCGGCGTTAGTCCCACTCTGGCACGCACGTATTTCTGGAACGACTGCGACTTTTTCTCCATGTCTTTTGGTGTATTAGCGACAGCTGATGGAGAGAGGTATGTGTTCCTGGCCGTTCTGGTGCGAGTTGATACGAGTTTAATCTCTTTTCGATGTAGATTCAGGAGGGAGTGTAAAGATGCTGGAAAGAAGCTGATGGTGTGGACCGTGAATGATCCTGAACATATGATGGAGGTATGCGCCTCTTGTGCTCATTCTTGGCTCTGAACTAACCAGATATCTCTAGGCCGTGCGATGGGGAGTTGACTGTATCCTTACGGACGTCACGAAAACTTGGCTCGATATGAGGTCTGCTTTACATGGTTCGTTCAGCTTTTTTCGTTGTTTTTGAGGTCATGTCTGAGATTTCCCGCAGCGGATTACGAGGGGACTGGCTTGCAGTACAGCCGAACTTTCCTCTGGAC